AGTTCAATTAATCCAATCAATTCTAGCGAAAGAACACTACTTTTATGGAAATATGTATTCATAAATAACTTTTATACATTAAAAAAAATCATTCTCTGGAGAATTTAATCAATTTATTAATTGAATAACGTCGTAAAATAGAAATTATTGTAAAAAATAATAAATCATACGAATTTATTGTTGAATGCAGCGCATAAACACTAAGTTTACGCAAATATTTGCTCGTGAATCATCTCAAGCCACGTGCAAATTCCACAGCAAGAGAAATCACCGCAAAATGTCGCGGCAGACTTTCGAATATAATCACTCCAACGGAATCCCATGATGCAACTAGTCCGAGATAATTCTTTCAGTTACCAGAAACACGTGCAGCATGCAGTAGCCACATTCATCCACATTTCTTCAACGCCTGAAACCCATGAAAATAAATATCACCGGCTTTTCCGAACCCGGATACCGAGCAGATGCGCGGTATCGGCGCGTGCCGAGCCATCAGGGGGAGGAATATGTGTGACCCCCATGTTCCACCCGTAAATGCAGAGCACATTTTTATGTTGAAACCTAGCAAATGGAGGGGGGGGGGGAGTCACCACCACCTGGCCCTTGAAAAACACCACTGACGTGATTTCCTGATGCGTGTGTGTGTTGGCTCCGGTGACCCCCAGTAGATTCCCGCTCACCCCCCTTTTCCACCACGTCATGTTGTTTCTGAAATTCTCGTGAAATTCATTAGAATAAATTTTCGTAAAGCAAAGAGGTTCTGAATGAATAAAATTAACTGAGAAATTGATTTCGGGTTGAGACGATAAAACAGGAATTGAACTTGGTGAAATTGGTTTTTGGTGATAAGGGAACATTCGTATTATAGTATTATAGTCCAGGAATCAAAATGTTGAAGTATGAATTTTATGTCACGCCGTGCAATAAATCGAGTTTATGTCACGGTGTGACATTAGTATATTTCTCGCCTTCGGCTCGTGATATAATCCCACGAGCTAAAAAACATTTTTTCACGAGTTACGAACAATATTTTTCATCACAATGTGGCGGAAATTGGACTTTTAGGCACGCGGAGCGTGCCGAAAAGTTCACTTTTCGTCACAGCGTAATGAAATAGTATATTTCGATACGAGTGAGACAGAATTTTCACGAGTGTGAAGTTCGCGGCCCGAGGCGAAGCCGAGGGCTGCCAATCACACGAGCTGAAAATTCCTGTCTCACATGTGTCGAACAATAGTTTTTGACAGTGATGTTACGTTCAGCGAGTGGCGAACTGTGCCTTTTTTCATTTACTAGTAAACGAAAAGACTTTTCGTTTACGAGTAAACGAAAAGGCACTTTTCGACACGAGGTGAACGTAGCAGCAGTGTCAAAAAAAATATTATAGATCACTCGGGTATAAACTTCGCTTTCAACGAATGTGAGTAGAAACCTCGCCTTCGGGTCGGCCTTAAACTTCACGTTCGTCGAAAATGAAATTTGTGCTCCTGTACACAGTAAAAAATCCAGAGTGGATTTCGACTTTGAGTCCACGCCACATAGAGTGAAAATAAGTCCACACCGATTTTCGGTGTGAATGCACAGAGTTAATTCATTCTGGAGTGAAATACAGCGTGTGGAGTGAAAATTGACATTGCCATGGTATCAAAATAAACGTATTAATCAACACAGATCGGTGCGAAAAATAAAAATTGACTCGGTACCAAAATGTGACTCCGGGTGAGAGTTAATTTCAACACCGGAATACTCAACCCGTCACACCAGAGACAGTAACACCGAATTTATTTTACTGTGTACTCTAATGTACTATTAAGAGTCCAGGTGGCGTTCTATATCGAATTATAGGTCCCGCGCTGTGATTAACAGCAATGGAACGTATAAGGACTCAATACGTGAAAATTCATGGTACCAGATGATATGGTAGTATAATATTATGAAATTGGTGGAATAATTTAATTTAAACTTAAAATTGAAATTCGGACTTATCAAAATTAATATATGTAGGTATCATTGTGAATGGTCTGGATACCTTTGACTCAATTTTTTGCTCAATTTCAACCTCTATGACATATAGACACTGTTAGAAAAAAATGAAATTCCATGGACAGTTGACTACTAATTTTCAGGACAGTGACACCGAATGCGATTTAGGAGAAAAAATATGAAATTTTAGGTTTGACTGAAAATTCAGTAAATTCCAGATTTTTAAGCAGCATAAAGACGAGAATTCCTTAATTTATTTGAATTTCCAATCTAATATGAATATTCAGTGCTAAATTGTATTAAATTTTTAGTGAAATTTCAAATTTCATGATTTTTCCGCCTAAATCGCATTCAGTGTCACTGTTTTGAAAATTCACGAATATATTTACTGGAATTTTTGGGTTTTCTACTCATTTTCAGGGAAAAATGGAACTAAAATTTACAGTTATATTTGATTTTTCCACGAAATTCTGAATTTTCAATGACGAAATTCCTTGAAATTTCAGTGGTAATTAAATGCGATAAAAATTTCCAGAGTGTTCCGGAAATTTCAGACAAAAATTTTTAACAGTGTAAGTTCAAGTTTATATGCTCATATAGATGTACGGGCTCATTATCCACCTCCGTCTCCCTCCACAAGGCAATAATTTATGATAATTTATAGTGTAGATAATTTATAGTGTATACATATGAAGTTATGTCGTTAACGACAGACTAAAGTCTACTAAACCTTACTAGCTCTTGGCGTTACCCAGGATTCACGACGGGGATGTGGCTGGAATTGAAACCCAAAAAATTTGAAATTTGCAAAATTTTATGACTCACAAAATCTTGATAAATACTTATGTAAACACAGTTGGCCGGAGGAAAACAAGTTTTGATTTTCAGGGACATGTCACTGATTTTTAGTAATCCATCTTTAATTTTTACTAAAAATCTATCCCCAATTTTTAGGAATTCGTGATTGTGAAATCCATTGAGTGCAAAATTCTAGAATTCGGTGATTTTCTCATTAATTTTTAGTAACATCACTAATTTTCAGTGATATCATCATTAGTTTACTAATTTACTAATTTATAGATTATATAAACTCGTGTCTCATTTTTAGCAATCTGCACTGAGAGAACACGGACGAAAAAATTTAATAGAAAAACCTATCGAATTCGTTAGAAAATTCTATTGAATTTCTATTGAACTGTTCTATTAGTTTTTGGCCGATTCTATTAAAATGTTCAATAGAAAATATTTCAGTAGAAAAAGTCAATAGAATTCAATTTTTCTGTATAACTTATTCTATTGAGATATTTTCTATAGAATTTCCTCGGCTCAAATTTTCTAAGTTTTTTCGTTTGATTCTCTTGATGAGAAGATAAGAAAAAATAGAATGAAAAAAAATTAGAAAATTTGAGTCGAGCAAATTCTATAGAAAATATATGAAAAGAATAAGTTATATAGAAAAATCGAATTCTGTTGACTTTTTCTATTGAATGTTTTCTATTGAACGTGGCAATAGAATCAGCCTAAAACTAATAGAAAGTTTAATAGAAATTCAATAAAATTTTCTGACGAATTCGATAGGTTTTTCTATTAAATTTTTTTGTGCGTGAATGCAAAATTAAAAATTACAATGCGTGTATAGTAATCGACGACCATAACGAAACAACTTTAAAATTTCATTTATTTTAATCAAATTTTTGCTTGTGCGAAATTAAATTTTCCTTTTATTCTACCACTTCTATATACCGACTCGCAATTTTTACTATGTTCAACCATAAATTTTGAGTGTGGCGGGTATAGTTCTCGATTACTATTATCCCGAAGTAAAAAACAATATTATATTTTTTCCGTGTATCACCAAATTTTAATGATAGAAATCACTGATGATCATGGTTATCTCAGTCACTGCCTAAAAACTATTGGCATGTCCCTGGAAATCAGTGAGATATTCCCTAAAAATGAAAACTGTTTTATCTCTGTGGTCGCCATACCACTCATCTGATCACAAATTTCTCCGACTTTTGAGATTAATCTTTACTTTCAATTTCAGCTTGATGAAAGGAATAGTAATGACGTTTTCGAAATAACCGGTTGTACGTTGGATTTAAAGTAGAGAGGGTATAGTATACTGTTGCGTCTCCCCTTCCCCTCATGTGTTAACTCGAATGCCGGCACACGCTGCAACCCCCATAGGTGCATTAATATGGGGTACCAAGGGAAGGCGTGGCGAGGCGAGAGATGAGGGGGATGCCCGCGACTTTGCGCCCAGAGGGAGGAGAACGCGTCAGGAAGTCGGATGGGATTCTTGTACCGAGGCAGAAGCTCCATTCTCAAACCAGAAAAAAATCATAAAATAAAACAGTTCAACAATACTTAACAAATAATAGAAAGTACTCCAAAGTATTCTTCAATCCATTTCACCAATCGTTTTTCATTGTGAATAATTGGTGAAGACCTAGAGGATTTAATGCATTTTACCGTTTGATATTAGAAGTTGTGAGAAATTAGTGATAAGCTCCAAAGAATTTAAAATAGAAACAAAATTATTTAACGTTAGTTATCAAAAGAAATAGTGAATAAAGTGTTTTGAAGTGTTTTCCCAATTAATATATTCTTCGTTTTGGATTCATAAAAGTTGAGAATAATAAAATAAATAAAATTTTTCTCATTCACTGATAAAGAAACCGCTGACCCTAAAATTCCCACGTACTCGTTCTCAGTACTTGAATGCAAACGAATTAATGTCACCAATGAATGAAAACCCGGCGGATCTTACATAAATAAATAACTCTCGCTGAGTGTTCTCCACACTGAATGAAATTCTAATCAAACAGAATCGGCGGTGGGAGTTGCTTCCGATTACTCATCGATGCCATTACAGGCGCATCGCTCTCATACCGATTTCGTCGCGAGTGGGATATGACGGAATAAGTTTGTGTGCTGGTATCAACGGGGGGTGATCGCCGTGAAATACCGACGGCATAAGGTCGCGTGCCCCCAGTCGCTCATCATCAGTGTCCAGGGGCTTATTTATACGCCATAAGGCGCCCACGCGACCTCGTCTTGCTCCAGTGGATCGTGAAAACAGGAGTTTCTCCAGTTGGGGACGAGTCCAGGGGGTGGATTCATGCCTTCCTGAGTGTCTTCACCGGATGTTCCGGGGGTCTTACTGTCTTCGGTGAGGGTTCGGGAGGGAATCAACGGATTGGTCTAGTCTACAGTGTTTCGTGATAAAAACTAGTGCTTCAAAAGTTGATTAAAATAAAAAAAACAATGTCTTCAAGTGTGAACACGTGATTTTTTTATTTTAAACCGTGAGCAATCGAGGAAAACTAGATTTATTATTCTTTGAATTAGAGGTGCGAATTTTTTAGCGTTAATTAGTGTGATTATCACAATGAGTGGATTCAAACGCATGCAGAGCCGAGTGTTCTGGGGCCACATGGAGGCTCAAGATCTGGATAAAACGCCTCTCCTTGGGGGCACATCCTCCCGACTTCTTCAAACTTCTTACTGCAATTTCGGTCGTGACACTGACACTGAGAAAGACAGTGACACGAGTCGCGAAGGTGATGAACTAACGGGCAACAGTATGAGCATGAACATCACAGCTATTAGGATAAACGAAGTGATCGAGGAGGGCTCGGAGGTTCAGCTCCGAACGTCAATAGAGGGAAGTTTGTTGGAGGTACCCGAGGATGTCGAGGACAATGTCGAAGAGATCGAAAACCCCGGAACGGGGAGTGCAGTGGAGCAGTGCTGCAGATCGTCTGGCCAGCAGTGTCAAGGTCACGGGAGTTTGGACTCGGGATTCTCGGACTCGGAGAGGTCCAAGAGTCCGGATATCATGGACAATGGAGCCCCGAGGAGGCAGAGGAGGAGGCGGAGGCGGTCGAGGGACAGGCCGAGGGTGAACCCGAGGGTGAATGCCCTTTTCCGGGAACACGATCTTCTCCACACGTCGACGCCGAAGAGAGAGTTCCCTGGGGCGAGGTCGAGGCAGAGTATGATGTTCACTAGTGACGAGGAACGAGAACTGTTATCTCGCAGGTGAGTGTACGAGTGAATCATTATTTGAATTTCAAGGGGAAAACGTGTAGAATTGAGAATATTTCTGGTATGAGGAGATGACCTTTCTGGATGGAGTAGTTCCCAGAATATTGGAAGAATGTATTTCGATGAATGAGGCGACTTTTCTGAGTCATGCGATCGGCGCAATCGTTAATCTTAAATTGTTCTGGCGCAGCCGAAAGCGAGTTTTGCATTTATTTTCACCAGAAAAAAAAATTTCTACCTAGTGAGGAAAAGTTTTTTTTGTGATACCTGCCTGAAAAGTGCAGTTTTCGAAAGGATGAGGTGTGCGTTGTGTTCCGCAAAGCTGTTGTGTTCCACAGAGCGTGCATAATGCCCATAAGCGTGTGGAAAGTGAATTCTCCTAACGTAAAGCTTCGCTTTACACACTCGAAATTCACTTTGCGCACGCTCTTGAACTTCACGTACTCGTACTCAAATAGTATATTGTGTTACAAGTGCGTAAAGATCCACTTTTTCGCACGTACGCTAACACATCCTATTTTTTGTGGGAGTAGTGGGGGTAAAGTAGTTGTGTTGTGCACGAAGTGCGTAAATTTCAAGGTCGTGCGTAAAGTGAATTTCGAGTGCATAAAGCCAAGCTTACAAGCACTTTACGCACACTAAACGGTTTCGAAAAGTGAACTTTTCAGGCAGATATCACCACAAAGAACTATTCAGGTCAGCTATTGCACTGAAAATAGTCTATTGCGATACGAGTGCGTAAAAGTGTTTTTTGACCCGTGGGAAATGTGTGGCGTTCGTCGACGCCGAGTGCTACCTTCTCAAGCGTCAAACAACACTTTTCCCACCAGCGGCGAACCCTATTTTACACCACCATGTGCGTAAAATTCCACTTCGCGCACAAATGATGAAGAAAAAATTAACTTTTCTCATCATGTCCATCCTGAGGGTAGCCCGGAGTGATTATTTGTAGACGAAACGTCCAATAAAGATTTTGTCACCGACGCTTTGCTAAGGAATTATTCGGCAACAAAGTAAAAATCTAACGCAAATCATCCTTTTTTTTGAAAATTCGTATCTCCCCTCTCACTTGGGATGAACTAATGAAAATAATGACCATCACTTGGACTTATAATGCACAATGATCGGAAAAGCATGATTTTCCTATTACTATGACCGGGTGAACAAACCCGCTCACTGAATTAAACCGCAGTGCAAGAGCCATTTGATTCCTACAACATGCAATGTGAACCTGAAAATGACAATCAGAGTCAACGAAATAAATTCATATATCCATTCTCATTTAATATGGCAAGATGAAATTCATTGGATTCGACATTCAATACCATCATCCCTCCGCCATCAATGGAAAAATTATTTGATTGGTTAACCTTTTTTTATTGACAACTCATTAATAAAAAAAACAGCGTCCGAGACAAAAATTTCATTAGAGTTTTCGTCTCCAAATGATCCTCGGAGTAACCCTTTTTTTCGTTCCATAAGAACGATTTTTCAAGGTTCAACAAGATTTATTAACATGGATAGATATTTACAAACAAGACAAGACAACAATATGGTACAAGTTTATACATAGAAAATTGATTGGTATAGTATCAGCCCGGAGGCTACAACATATGTATGTATATGAGGGGTGAGAAATGGGTTAACAATATGAGGGATGAGGATAGGGAGGAGATGCTGGATAGGGAAAACTTTTTATATTAAAAAACCCTATTACTCATAAGAACGATGAGTTTTGGAACACCCTGTACATCTTCTTGAATTCAAAACAAGATAACAATTTCCTCCATCCAATAACTGTCCATTTCCTTTGTAGACTTCATTTCGTTTTTCATTCGTAAATCAAAACATAAATCACCTCGATGATAAAATGTTCACCTACTCTTGAACGGTTTTACTGCACGTGTCATAAGGTACAGATAACAGAATTCCTCTCGAAATATAGAACAGACCAGAATAGGTGAGTCAGCCGAATTGTTTCATTCGAGAACAGTAGAAACCTAAATATTTAGATTTAGAACCACCGGTAATGGGTTTCGCTCGGTGATTACGATCGGTATGTCACAAAGAGGCTCTTGTCACTCAGTGGATATCAATCGGGAGTAAGTACCGTGAGCAATGAGGATATGAGAGGAATGCGACGAGTAAGACATTCAATTTTTTATTTATTTACGAGAGAAGCGTAAGGTGTCCCCTTACGTACATCAGTGTCGTATCACGCATAATCGGACGTTCTATTATGCTGATTATCTCGATCATATAATCGACAAATACAAAAAAAAAACAGAGAAAAACGTAGGGGAGAGTTGGACAAAATGGACCAGGTGGGCTAAATGGACCCCTGAAAAAAATTGTGTTTTTTTCATAATAATTTTATTAACGATTTGTCATTTATTGTGGCAATAAATATGATAAATACTGTCGGAAATAGTGAGAATCAACAAGAATGTGGTTAGGAGCAACCGTAATGTCCATAGTAATTCCGACAAACGGAAATTTCAGAAATCGAGGAAAACATATTTTCGACCTTCCACACTCACAAAAATTTTTTCATCCAAAAAGCACGTAAAAATACCAGAATAATGAAATTAACAAATCAATAATTGGATGCATTGTCAAATAACAATCATAATTCTTTTATGTTAAGTATTATGCGCAATCGTCACATTCGAATTTAAAATCGTCTGGATTAATCCACACACGTAATGAGTCCATCTTAGACACATCTGATACTGAATCCACTCTCCGGTACTATCCCAAAGAGACAGTTCACTAAAATTTCGAAGAGATTCATAAATGAAAAAATAAGGGAGTCCGTTTTGCCCTACAAGAATTGAATTTCTACAAGAATTATATTCAAAACTCGATGGGTTTTTCGTCGAATTTGAATTTTCTGTACAAGTTTCATCAAAAGATTCTCTGTAGAAATTCCTCAGCCTCATTTTCCAAGTAAAGGTGACGAATTTTTCAACAGAATCGGCGATAAACCGATAGAAAATTCAATAGAAATCCAATCGACTGTTCTCGTGAATTCTCTGGCTTATGTCATTAAATTTTTCCGTGCGTACAGTTCTCATTGAATAAAAAAATAGTGAAAATGTTTTTTTATTATTATTGAATAGTGAAATAGTTGTTTCCAAAAATAAATAGAAGAGAAATGAATAGAAACGGGACTACTATAATAGAAATAAAAATGAATGAATAAGTAATAGGGAAGAGCCAAAAAAAATTGTTCCGTCTCGTCTCGTACTCGTGCGCATCATTACTATTCAACTCATCTCGCATAAGAATACGTGTTCGCCCTCTGATTCTACAGACATCTCCAATCGTATGTAATCCGAAATAAAAATCTCACATTATTTCAATCTTGGTGAGGCAATTGTATCGGAAAGAAAGGAAATTCCATTAGTTGCTTCCATGCACAACCGCGAACGACAAGCATCAGACTTCAGAATAATTTCATTCAATTCTTTCAAGTCATTCCTCCTTGTGCCCGAGAAAATTAGATTGAGTCATCTGAGGAATTCATCCGCGTTCCCCGAAGATGAAGAATCATGATTTGAGAGAAAATGAAAATATACGTGAATACATTAGTATTAGTCATTGTACGAGATCACTGCTGGATTAGTCAGCTTTCGAGGTACGCGGCGATAAGCCGGACTCGTGCATATGAGAGTATTCTTGAGGAGTTGGGGAGTGGTGCGTTGGACTGCAGTTGGGAGTTGATGGACAGGCAGTCGGTTCAAGTGTACCCATGACACTGGAGGCTCATGGTTTTTTGCGAGGGATAGGGGTGTGATAAAACGAGATGGCTTGGTCGAGGTGATTATTACATACCGAGTGGTTATTCGAATATAAAGAACCATTGACCAACGATGGTGGCTGTGCGGTTGGAGTGTGGGATTGGCTTGCGGGCGATCCGGGTTCGACTCCCGGCTGAGGGGCCAAAATTTGTGACACTCTAAATCTCACGGTTTCAGTGAGACGACTGTACCTGTGCAGCTACTCACTCCATAATTGAGTGAGACCATGATTGAGAAATGAAGTGGGTTTCCGGTGATTTCAGTGATTTCGGAAAAAATAATTTCGGTGATTTCGAGCGTTACGGGAAGTGATGTTATGATTTCGAATGATTTCATTAATTCGAAATTAGTGATTTCAGAAAAAATGAAGTCATTGAAATCACGATAAATAAAGTTAATAAATAATAGAGGTGGGGCAAAAGGGATCGTGTCAAATTATGAAAAAATAGCAAACAATAACGAATTCGTTTGATTCCACTCCGTCAATCTTGAGCTAATGACGATGAAAAATAACAATCAATTTCAGACTTTTATATTAGAAAACAAAAGTTACATAAATGATTTCACACATACGTTGTTATAACATTAACTCATTTATTTAGAAATTTTTTTTGACTTCATCAAAAATTCTCTCAGGGAGCCTGAACTCTCAACTCGCAGTGATCAGAGGAGGAGAAATTATTCTTCGACACTGGTTTATATTAATGTAGCCGTGAGAACTCATTGGCTCCGACTTTAAACTACTCAGACTTTTATCCAAACATATACCAACGGTAAAGAACACCTATATTTTTGCTATATGGTGCTTGCCTTTAATGGGATAGAGGATATAACCAAAACGAATTGAAGAAGATATTTTTGCTATTACCATTGGCACGAGCATATTCGGTCAAAAACTCCCTGCTTCGCAGAGTTTTCTCCTCTGAATAAGCGAAATTCAGCACATACCCTAATAAACAAGAATGATATTTTTCCTCCTGAAATAAACACCAATCACCGATATAGATTTCCTTAAATTCTGTCACAAAATACTTTTTCTTTCTTTGCGAAGAGTTCTCACGTCGAGTACTTCTCATTATTTCTTCGTCTCTAACTCGCTGAAATCTATCACGACTGAGTTTTGAATAACTTTTATTAAGTAACCAACATACTGAGGATTTGCGAACTATTGATTCTTGGCCTGAAGCATGTGAAACTATAACGAATGGACTTTCTAGATCCATAGGATAATAAGCACATACGAGATTTGTCTGGGAGTAAGTATATACGGGATTCTCAGAAAGAACAGTATGGCAGTGAGTACGGCATTTTATTATCATTGTTGGCAGGCGTGTCAGTTTCAAAATCACGAATTACTTGCACGGTACGCACTACGTCAGTGCGTTACTGATTTCGGAGAGCTGAATTCACTTGATTTTAGAGTGATTTCGGAGCGATTTCGAAATGATTTCGGGCTACACGGAGAAAATTATATGATGAATTTCAACTAGTTATTGAAGTTCACGAACCAGTTATTGAAATTCACCAAGTAGTTGTTGAAACAAATGAATTATCAACCAGTTAGTGAATTTCAACAACTTGTTTATTGGAATTCACCAACTCGTTGTGAAAATTCACTAACTACTGTGGTGGCACCAGTTTTCGAATGGTTAAGGGGTACCCACCCATTGCTTGGTAATTCATTTTTTTCAACAACTGGTTAGTGAATTTTCTCCCTGCAGAATGGTGCCGTGATTTCGAGAGTGAGCAGTCCCTCGGGTTTTCCTCTCAAGTGAGGTTTTCCCTTGTCCTTCAGCAAATGCCCTACAAGGGGTTGGGGGTGGGAAGGTAATAAATAGTAAAAACGTAAAACGTATATGAGAAGGAAAAAAAATACAAAGAACCATTCCTCGATTTTCCTTCAGTCTTCGAATTTCACAACCTAAGATGTTCAGTTTATTTGGAAAATATCTCTAATACTGATGGCTTTAGGAAAAAAAGTGAAAAGACTTTTTTTGTTGCGTATTAAATTCTCCGCACAAACGTTCTGTTTGAAACGCAACTAAAATTCCAGAACATTCTGGTCGACCATCGGCCTACTTCGAAAATCTCCGGGACCCTTCGGGTCATCAGTCATAAGTCACCGAAACACGCGCGAATCAGTGTTGAGGCTTAGCCTCTCATCGTATAAGTCTATCTCGAGCAAATCACCTGCAGACGTTGTATAGTATCCATTCGTATTTCAACGAGTTCACATCAACTAAGTAGTAGTCTCTCAACTAGTCCACAAGTATTAAGTAGAACTCAACGAGTAATTCAACGTGTAGTAATTCACCGAATTAAGTTATTAACGAGTATTAATCAACATTAGTAAGAGTTCATATCGAGAAGTCGATTCAGTCAATTAGCATTCAAAATTGAATACCTTTATTCAGTACATCACCTTTGTTGATTAAATTCAGTTTAAATTCAGTGACTCACCAAATTAACGTGCAAAGACAATCATCAGTGAAATCACAAATTACCAAAGAGTGTAAATAGATTTGACAAAGTGGTTCGATTCCACAAAATAAAGTGTGATTTTTTAAATCCAGCTCATCAGTAATTTTCCCAATAGCTCCCTCCACATTTTCATCCCACATCCACCCTAAATCTAGTCATTCACCAAACACGTTCTTTTGATATTTTTCTCTAAACCGACTAGTTTCAGAGACATTTCAAGTTTTATCAGACAAGAATAATGAAGATTATTTTATTCTGTTGTAGGATTGAAGAAGAAAGGGAGGAAACCGCGATTCGACCTGGCGATGTTATCCCTCAGGAGGAGGAGTGTCTAGGAGACTTCCTCTATGCACAAGAGCCCCCAGAGGATGACATTCCCACGTCGTCAAGCACGTCGCGAGGCTCCACCCCGTCGTTCGCAGGGCCTTGGTACTCAAGGCTCTCGAATGAACGTTCAGGGTCGAGTGGAAGCAGCCCGAGGATTTCGAGTGAGGCAAGGTGCCAGGAGTCTGTAAAGGTGTGGCTGAGGGACCTCGCTGAGGACTACGAGCCCGAGTGCTGTGTTGCATTGCAGAGTAAGGCCCTGCCGAAGAGAAGGGAGCAGAAGGAGACGAGTGAGGAGAGCCAATCGAGGGATTTGAGACTGATGACTGCTACCGCCACTGCTGCAGCTACGGAGTTAATTATTAGGGCTGATGGATTCTCAAAACATATTCGGGATGTCATTGAGTAAGAATATTTACGGTGACTGATATTTTTGGGATTACACTGTTAGAAAAACAATGAAATTTTATGGGCAGTTGACTACTAATTTTCAGGACAATGACACTGAATGCGATTTAGGGGAAAAAATCATGAAATTTCAGGTTTCACTGAAAATTCAGTGAAATTCCAGAATTTTAAGCAGCATAAAGACGAGAATTTCTCAATTTATTTGAATTTCCAATCTAATATGAATATTCAGTGCCAAATTACATTGAATTTTCTGTGAAATCTGAACTTTCATGATTTTTTCCCCCTAAATCGCATTCAGTGTTAATGTCCTGAAAATTCAAGAATATAATTACCTGACTTTTCTGATTTTCTATTTATTTTCAGAGAAAAATGGAACTGAAATTTATAGTTCTCTTTGATTTTTTCACGAAATTCTCAATTTTCAATGACGAAATTCCTTGAAATTTCAGTAGTAATTAAATTCGATAAAAATTTCCAAAAAATCTACCGGAAGTTTCAGACAACAATTTTTAACAGTGTAATTCGAAATTTGCTATTTTCTCATTAGCGTGTAAAGTAAAATTTTACGCACGTTCTGCGCAAAATCCCACTTTCCATTCGTTGTTAAAAAAAATAGGATTCGACACTCATGAAAAAAGTATTTTCCGACTATTAGAGGATGTGTAGTGCTCGCCGAAGACTTTTACCTACTCGTATCAAAATATACTATGAGAGATTGAATGAAAGAGGTGTGGATGTCTTCGGAATGAAAGCAGAATTTTTTAATTTCATGGGATTCGAATAGAATCAAATACATTCGACGATTTTTTCGTAGAAAATGTTATGGGCTACGAAAGGATATTTTCGAAATTCTTATCATAAAAAGTACTCGTAATTCGTATCATGAAGTACATAAAAAATACTTTTCTTCTTATAGCAATTAATCAAAGGAGAAGCGAATAAATGAATGAATTCATTATTTTTAAAGTATTATTGATTTATACTTTCACATTTTTTCAGCAAAGTGTCACATTTAGAAAGTGGAAGATCGGAGCGAGAGCTCCTGCGTTCGATTGAAGAAGAGGCATTCTCACTCTTATCAGAGCTAGGAGCTCCACCTCCTCGAAGGATCCACGAAGGAAGTCTGCGATCAATTCTGTCTCAACTAGAATCCCTCGAAAACGTCGTGAACTGCACCGTAAACACTCGTCTGGACTTCTACATCGAGGTGAGTCATTCCCACAAAAACATCAGTAATGAAGTGGTGAAACGAGACAAATAAAAGAAATTGAAATTAATTATTGCGAATCCTTGGGGATGGCAAAGGAGGCGTCACAATTTTCAGCTTTTCGTGTCATGCAGGATCCACGACGAGGACTTGGCTGACATAGGATTTAAACAATCTCCACCATATGACCCATATGATCGCCATGATCCTTATTCTGACCCTTGTTACCCTTATTTCGATCCTCAATCTGACCCATATGACCCTTAACCTGACCCTTGAGACCCCTGTTTGGACCTTTATTCTACCCTTATCACCCTAATCTGACCCACCATGACCGTGATCTAACCCTCGTGGCCCTTATTCTGACTCTCGAGACCCTTATACTGACCCTTATGTTGATCCTCATAACTTTTATTTCGACCCTCGTGATCCTTATTTTGACCCTTGTGACTCTTAATCTTGGAGTCTTAATTTGGAGTACCACATTTTTATCATCAGAGGTCGATTTGGATTTTTATAATATAACGAGATTATTGAGGAACCGCCTCTTCCTTGTCCATTTAAAAATTTAGCTGTCTATCATCGATGCAGATAAGAGGGTTGGTTAAATTAAATGAACAACGCATATTAACACATTCCTCAAAACCTTTTCTTCACTTTCGCAGAGATAGATTTATTACAGAAATTCCAGAGCTAGAATGAAAGAAAGTACGCAAGTTATAGTATTTTACCTCCCATTTTCGAGCAACACATTAATTTGTCCCGTAGTTATATTTTCCTAGAAAACCCCACAAATTTGACTCATTACGACAAATTTCTTCATATCATATACGTGCTCTTAGATTGTGCTCTTTGTCCTCTACTAGCACTGAAATTTTCCAAAAGAATTTCTCTCCGTGTTGTTTCGCCATTTCACTACAGAAGTCTTCAAAACAAACAAATTCTATATCAAACAAATCAAATCCATTTATTTTCCCACAGAGAGTCGTGAGAGGTCTCGAAGACGCTCCAGAGGAGACCGGAAGTGCAGCGAGAGGAGCGCTGGCTGCGCTAACAGCCCTCGGCCTCGCAGGCACACGAGCAGGGAGCAGCATCGCCAGGTGCGCAGGGGTCCGCGCCCTCCTGACATCCCTAATCTCAGCTGGGAGACTCTCCAGCGAACTTCGTGCCTCCACTCTCCGCGCCCTCTCCAGCGTCTGCTGCTGTCCCCTAGCCATCAATCGCTTCGTCAAAGAGGGCGGCCCGGAGATCCTCGTGGACCTGCTCGCATCAAAGACGTCCCCCGAGAAGGAGAAGATGGAAGCGGCGGCCCTAGTCGTTCAGATAACGGCTCCGTGGACTGATGCCCTGGGTCTCCGTCATCTGGAGCCCTTTGCCAATATCCTAGTGGACATTCTGACGTCCCTAGCTGAGGAGACCAAGTGCGGACAGACTCTCCTGCTCTCGGCAGCTGCTCTGAATAATCTCGGAGACTCGAAAAAATGTGTTTACTCTATCGTGAAGTGCGATACCGTCCGGAAGCTCTTGAAATGCGTCAAGAAGTCAGTTGGAGGGAGCATTTGGCTCATGGAGCAGGTCGCCTCGCTCGTGGGTAAACTCGCGAAGATTCCAGACGTCAGGGGGCACCTGGCGAAGGCCAGGGCTTCTGTCGCACTCGTCTGCTTCCTCAGGATGGCTCCCCCGGGACTCGAAGAAGCTTATCAGAGGCTCGCGGTCACTGCAGCTGCAGCTCTCACACGACTCTGCGTCGATCCTGAGATTGCGAAACAAGTTGTGGCTGTTGGTGGGGCTGATTGCCTTCCCAATTACAACTCCGAGGAGGGGGAGGACGAGGAGGATCAGGTTGGTCTGCTGAGGTACACCAGGAGTCTCAGAATTGCCTGTAGAAAGGCTGCTAAACACATCGATGAGGCCAAGGCATGCGACTATTCGATGTGAATCAGGATTAGTCATTGAGTGAGACGCCATTAATGATTGAAAATCGGTTTCGAGGAGAGGGAAGCGAGAAGAATGAGTCAGTTTTGTGAAAATCGTTTTTTATTTGGATCTGTATTGTATATAGGTTTGAGCAGCCCTGAAAAATCTTGGAGACTTTACAAAGTGGTTTTTACATTATCGTAACGTGCGATACCGTCAGTTGGAAGGAGAATTTGGCTCATGGAACAAGTTGCCTCCCTCGTGGGTAAACTCGCGAAGATTCCAGACGTCTGGAGGCACCTGGCGAAGGCCAGGGCTTCTGTCGCACTCGTCTGCTTCCTCAGGATGGCTCCCCCGGAACTCGAAGAGGCTTATCAGAGGCTCGCGGTCACTGCAGCTGCAGCTCTCACACGACTGTGCGTCGATCCTGAGATTGCGAAACAAGTTGTGGCTGTTGGTGGGGCTGATTGCCTTCCCAATTACAACTCCGAGGAGGGGGAGGACGAGGAGGATCAGGTTGGTCTGCTGAGGTACACCAGGAGTCTCAGAATTGCCTGTAGAAAGGCTGGTAAACACATCGATGAGGCCAAGGCATGCGACTACTCGATGTGAATCAGGATTAGTCATTGAGTGAGACGCCATTAATGATTGAAAATTGGTTACGGGGAGGCGGAGGCGAGAAGAATATGAGTCAGTTCTGGTTACTCGATGCAAATCAGGATAAGTCACTGAATCAAACCCCATTAATGATTGCAAATCGTTTATGGTGAGAGGGGGGCGAGAAGAATGAGTCAGTTTTGTAAACATCGTTTTTTACTTGGATTTGTATTGTATATAGGTTGGAGCAGCCCGTGAACAATCTTGAAGAATTGAGAAAGTGTGTTTATGCTATCATAAAGTGCGATACCGTCAGTTGGAGAGAAAATATGGCTCATGGAGCAGATCACTTCCGTTGTGGATAAACTCACAAAGATTCCAGATGCCAGGGGCATCACCGTATGAAAAAATTCAATAGAAAAACTTACCGTATTCACTAGAAAATTCTATTGGAATTCTTTAGAAATTCTGTTAAAATTCTACGGATTCTATTAAAATTCTAGAGAATTCTCGCTAAAATTCTATTTGTTTTTTGGGCAGATTCTATTAGATATTTCATAGGAAAAAGTCAATAGATTTCGATTTTTCTGTTTGAATTTTTCTCTTGAGACTTGTTCTATTTAAATTATTCGGCACGGATTTTCTAAGTTTTTTTCGGTTATATTTTGTTTTGTTGTGCACTACAGGATGCGAGTGAAAAAAAATTAGAAAATTCATGCTCAAGTATTCTTAAAGGAATAAATTTCAAGAGAATATTCATCATTTCATATGGAAAAATCGAAATTCTAGCGAGTTGGCTAAGTTTTTTAATTGAATTTTTTCTCGTGAGATTGCGAAACAAGTTGTGGCCGTTGGTGAGACCAACTGTCTTCCCAATTACGACTCCGAGAAGGGGGAGGATGAGGAGGACTAAGTAGGGTTGCTGAAATACACCAAGAGTCTCAGGATTGCCTGTACAACTTATGCATTGAGTAATGCATCAAACGCGATTAATGATTGAAAATCGTTTACGTGAAGAGAGAAGCGAGAAGAATATGAGTCAGTTCTGTAAAAATAGATTTTTATTTGGATCTGTGTTGTAAATAGCTTTAATATTATTGATGTTGTTTTTAAGAATTCTTGTTTTTTACACTGAATTGGTGAATTAAAATACTGCATCAAAGGTTTAGTGCCATAAATATATTCTAGGAGAATAAAAAAATTATGATAAAAGGAATTGGAGTTCTGGGGGGATTAGAAGGGTTTTTCCAGGTGGCTCTTGTGGAAGATGTCGATTGTCGTCTCCAGACACGGTCGGAGCTCGAGATCACAGGCTCCGAGGATGAATTTACCTTCTGGGGGCTTGAAGTAGTCTAGGCCTCGGCCGATCTTTATTACCCAACCGTTACTCAATCTGGAAGTTAGAAATTGAGACAATATTTTTAAAAAATTTCAAGACCTTTTCGTGTCTGAGGTAAAATGGACTATTTTTGCTTTTGTTCATCAATTGTCTCACGGTTATACACTGAGAAATTTTTTTTGGAGAAGTACGTGATAAGTACTTGTGTCGAGGAACTCATGGCTCGAAAATTGACAAGAAGAAAATATCTTGCACTGAAAAAGAAAAAACTTACGTTAACAGATTTTGTACTTACGGATGAAAAAATTTAATAGAAACCTGGTGAATTCGTTAGAAAATTTGATTGACTGCTATTCAACTTTCTATTAGTTTTTGGCCGATTCTATTGAAATGTTCAATAAAAAATATTCAGTAGAATAAGTTAATAGAATTCAATTTTTCTATAGAACTTATTCTATCGAGATATTTTCTGTAGAATTTCCTCGACCCTAATTATATCTAAGTTTTTTTTGTTTGATTTTCTTGATGAGAAGAAAAGAATTTTCTATCCTATTCTAAAAAGAACATACACTTCAAGTCGATAACTATCGATATCTCGCAAGTCTGTCACGCTTATTCCTCGTTGGTTCCAGACGTCTGAGGCGGCAAATTTAATTCATGATTAATTTAAGGGTGCCAAGTGAATTTGACGATGACCTTGAAAATTGACATTCACCAACAAAGTTATAATTTTTTTAATTAATAGTATTAGACAGATGGTGAACATCGGTGACAATTTTAAAATTTTAGAACTTATGGATATCGAGAAATTAAATAAACAAAATCAGTCTTATACACGGCCTCTTATGGAGTTTTGATTAAATTGAACGCTTCAACCCCCTAGGAACTCAAGAAAAATTTGAAAAATTTGAAGATATGGGGAATGATGTGTTCAATGTGATGGCGACAAAAAACAATGGGGTACCGGGGTGAATAAGAGAGATATTTCAACCCGCCGTACCCATTTGATCCCATGCTTTCTCGAGGTTCGTCACGCGAAATAGAGGATTTTCCGCATTTATTTTCTCGATGTCTAGTTCCGGTTGCGAGTTTGAAATTTCGTCGGATGGATGAATACATATTTTTCCAATGATGGAGGGAAAGAAAAAATTTTAAAAAAATCTTTTTTCAAATTCACTTGGCACCCTTAATTTTGAGATTTTCGCAAAACTTTACACACTCGTGCACAAAAACAACCACATTACCCCCACTACCGTTTCGAAAAGTGAACTAGGCAGGTACCACAAAAAATAGGATGTGTTACACGTGCGTGTGAAAAAGTGCAACTTTACGCACTAGTAACACAATATACCATCTATCAAATTATTTCGTGCGTACTTGTCCCAAAGACGAGGATAATTTGTTTATAACGAGCAAGAGATTTCAGAAAACAAGTTGTGACGACCTCGTCGTCAGACATAATTATTCTTTTTAATTAATACGAATGACGTCATGTCGGTGTCTCTCAACTCTTTCCTCTTATGAAGAAAAACCCTGGAAAGTCGTCAGCAGCCTCGTTGGAGAGGTTCTGACGGTCTTATTTTTGCCCGAGGAAACTCATTGTCGTCACCCTGGAGAAATATCTCTTCAGGGTCAGGAGGACGACAATGAGGATTAGAGGAACACCATCAGCCTCAGCGGTCGAGGTCCTATTCTTCGAGGACGAGGATACCTCCAGACGACGGAATGGAGGTCATAATCGCGAACACGAGGAGTTTGGAGCGAGGACGATGATTTTACGATTCNATCTCACCGGCAGGCGTCATCAAAAACGGACAGTCTTCGTCGCAGTCTTCGAATTGATTATTAATTATTCAGTTACAGTCACAGTCGAGTCAATATTAAGGGAATATCAATTCCATCTTCTATTACAATTTATTGAGTCACAGTTAAGTCTATTTTGTCAGGAGCATCAGTTGTGATCAACAGTCGAGAAACAAAGGAGGTCAGAACTGCCATTATTATTATTTCTGTATAAAGTCAAGTCGAGTCAATTTTTTGTCGAGTAATCAGTCGTGAGCTCGCGGATCTTATCAAATTATTATCAATTTACTTCTGTTATTTAAATATGTTCATTTATCATTTGAATTGATTATTGTCGGTCATTAAAAATATTCGATTGAGTGAAAATTAAACTGTGTGTTGTGTTGATTTCGGGGAGACGAAACGTAGGGAGTATCGTCCTCCCTCCCCCTTGAGATAAACCAGGAGAAAAATATATCAATAAATCGGCTTTGTTAATTTACCGGTTTATTGAGATCAAAAATAAACAAAATAAATTAACTGGCACTCGAAAGGCAAAATCAAGCTGCAGCTAATATTTAGGTCGAAGAAAATTAGTTAGTCAATAATTATCAATCGTCACAAAGTCTTTTGTATCAATTTACTCACTAATTTTCAAGTCCCAAATTCAAAATATTTTATTGCAAAACTACTTGACTTGGTGCGAGAAGTTATTGCTGTGAATAAATTATCTTTCGAACAGGTACAAAATCTCTTGACTAAAACGTTCTTTTCTCAGTGTGCGATATTCTCTTCTTGTCAATTTTTGAGTCACGAGTTTTTGATACAAGTACAGACGTCCTTCTCAAAAAACGTTTTCCCCAGTGTATACGATATAGTTCTTGGGGAAAAATTCTTCTCTCATGAAAAGGAGAATCATTTAACTTCATTGAGAATTTTATCATTTCTTACTATCTTTGAAAGAAAGTAAAAAAAATCAAAAAAGTACTCTTTCATTGAGTTTAGCAATTAAATTGTGAGGGAAGTTTGAAAAGAAAAACTCATGAATATTCAGGTTCTTCCGGAATACATTTTGTAACGAATTTTCTTTTTGCAACATTCCCTTCGTATAAATAAATAATTGGAAGAGGGTAGGGCACAATGGACGCCTTTGACATTTAAGAAAATGTTCATAACTCAAGAATAGATGCATCAATCGAGCTTGGACCTGATCCATCAACAAAAGAAAGAAGTGTACTTTACAAGGAAATAGAGTGGTCCCTTTTCAGCAATAGTTCAATGCAAAAAAAGTCAATCGTCTTCATATTGTCCACTTCCTTACAATCATTTCACCTTTCCGAAACCTGATTTTTTTAACATAAAGTAGTTTTCTGGTTTGGTTCTCAATATAGACTAATCTTGTTATAATAACGAAAAAAATCATTTTAGGCTGAAACAAATAATTTATGTAATTGCGAATTTTTAATTGGTTTACCAACTCTCTATCAGAAGTATTTTTCAAAATGTTTTCAAAGAGTTAAGAATGAAGAATTAAATTCCAGTCTTCAAAATTCAAATGCTAAAGTCGCTGTGAAATGCCCAAAAACTCAAGATCGAATGGAAATTGAATGGAAGATCTCAGATTCAATAACATATATCGAAGAATTTTAACCCTAGATTGGTCACCATATGAGAGATACCCCGCCCCGCGTCGTTTTCCTTTAATTACAATTGATTGGCTAATGGGAAAATTTTTCAAAAACTCAAAAACGGAACAATTATAGTAGTTTTTAGAACAACATATTCCAGAAATTCCTAAAGAAAACAAATTATTTCGAACAGATGAATTATTTTTTCCCATGTTGAATGAAATTACCCATCACGCGACGTTGCCGAAAATCGCTAAACGCGCCCGGGCAGTGTACAGTGAATTCGACAACGCTAGAGTCTAAATAATACGGCGGGGAATCCCCGCGAAGGTGATCAGAGTCACAGGGTTGCGCTTGGTGACCAGACTAAGGTTAACAAAACTCATGACCTAAGTATTTGGATATTCTCAAAGAAAATCTATCTATTTTACTTTCCCTTATGGTGAAACGGAACCCCTGTGTCTGTAGGAACTTTTAGAATTGTGTTTTCTCCTGCAATTATTATTTTGTATTTATGAAACAAACTGCTTCATTGACAATTGTAACAATTGTAGGAGAAAACACAAGTCTAAAAGTTCATACAGACACAGGGGTTCCGTTTCTCTTATGTTATGACAACTTACGAAATTTGTCTGTCATGGAGTGTATCTGAAAATTCAACTTCAAATTTCACTAGTCGGCCAGCCAAGCTCTGTCTCAACTCGTCCAAACGTTTCATCTGATTTTTTCCATCCTCAGGATCTTGAGTGGTAATAAGAGAGACTCTTGATAGGGATGTGCATTTCTGAACTGCTAGTTCACATAATCTGACCAGATTTAAGCACTAGAAAAAGAAGATGGAAAATAAATTGTGCGTCAAAGTTCGCCATTCGCTCAATCTTCGCTGCTTTACCTGGTGATATGCTCTGATATACGGGTCCTCGATCCGCACGTGTGTGACGGTGGCATCCAGAAACCTGCCGAAGAGACTATTGTACCCGTGACCCACACTCCCAGCTTCTATTCTCATCTGCTCCCTATATTTTCCCTCGGCTTTCTTCTTTCCTATCATTATCTTAACGTCTTCAGCCCGTTTGAAATACTCATTGGCCTTCGAGCGGAAGTGCTCCTTCTTAGTTGGATCTTTCAACTCTTGATCGAATAACACAAATGAATATTCTCATGAAATCACGTATGAAAAAATTCAATAGAAAACTTTAGCGAATTTGCTAGAAAGTTCTATTGGAATGCTCTAGAAATTCTATGGGGATTCTATTAAAATACTAGGGAATTCTCGTTAAAATTCTATTTGTTTCTCGCGCAAATTCTGTTAGATATTTGATAGAAAAAAGTCAATAGATTTCGATTTTTCTGCTCGAATTTTTCTCTTGAGATTTTTTTTATTAAAATTATTAGACACGGATTTTCCAAGTTTTTTCTGCTCTATTTTGTTTTGTTTTACATTACAAGATGCGAGTGAAAAAATTCATGCCCAAGTATTCTTATATAAAAAATTCCAAGAGAATATTCGTATAGAAAAATAAAAATGTACAGACTTTTTCCTGTCAAATACAGTAGATTCTCGCTAGATGCTGGCCCGTTAGTTGCTCGTTTTCTCCTAATCCCCTTCTCGCACGCTCGAGCGTTGGTTCAGTCAAAATAGCTTCAACTTCTGAATTTTTACCTACGTCCTTGCGAATTGGCCCAATCGGTAGACTTTAGCCTCACTAAGAGTTTTTGAGTAGGCACAGGGTTCGTGCACTCCAGCGAGTGTGAGAAAAATACGAAAAACTACCCCCGAAATGCATTTTTCGAGAATAGCTCGAAAACGACGGAAGAGATCGGAAAAAGTATCAAATAAAAAGTACAGAAGATAAAATTCTCTGCAAAAAATGTCTTATGCACTTTGCCTCCACCCCCTACGGTTCATCCCCTACAGCACTGTAAACGGTTGAGAAAAGAAAAAAATCGAAATTTTTTCCTTGTTCCAATAGACTTAAGCAGTTATTGAGTATTTTCATAAGAAGAAAAAAAATATATATAGGCAACGGGGGTGGAAATATCCATGTCGAGCAGCGATATCTCCTGAAATATTGGTCAATTGTTTATTTTTTTTTTTCCTATTTTTATTTATAATTTTTGCTACAAATAATTTCTTTATCGTTTTGCCATATGTTCTATAGTTTTTGTATTTCATCCCATTTCACCGTTTTCATCCCCGAACTTTGCCTCTCTCAGAGAACCACTGCGCGGGGAAGATATATATACAGGGTGTAACTTTATTGGTGGAATATCTCCCGGCCACACGTGCAGCGACCTCCCCTGAATGCTAGAAAAATTGAAAAAAAAAATTTATTTAACCAATTTTAAATTGTTAATAATTAACGTGGGCCAATGAGGAGGCCGGGTTATGGCGCGTAAGAGTGAGTGGTAGCGGCTGGCTGACGTGTGGCAACAGCCCGTTAGAGAGACGTCGAAACACGAGGGAGACGCCGGAGCAGTTGAGTGACACTGCTCTGCCGTTAAATTCAGTTCGATACTCATTCAAGTATCGGTAAGTGGCATACTCAGGCGACCAAATTTATAATTGATTTGACGTTCTAACTGTCAAACCGCACTTTTGACAAACAAATCCTGATTATTCTCTTTCAGTAAACGTTCTAGCCTTTCAATTGATTAATTGATGAGAAAAGTCCGTGGAAACTTTATTTTTAATTAGAGAACCTACTAAAACCTTCATTTTTCATCAGAGAAACCGACCATAATAATGATAATGATAATGCCATAGGTGGACTAGTCGTGCGTGATTATACACCACAGGTGTACTCTTCGTGCGCAATCAGTGCACCACAACGGCACTACGCGTGCGTAATCGCTGCGCTACAAGTACACTACTCGTGCGCAATCGGTACGCTACTAGTGCACTACTTGTGCGCAATCGCTGGGCTACAATTGCTCTACTCGTGCGCAATCGCTGCGCCACTAGTGCATTACTCGTGCGCAATTGGTATGCCACAAGTGCACTACTCGTGCGCAATCGGTACGCCACTAGTGCACTACTCGTGCGCAATTGGTACGCCACTAGTACACTACTTGTGCGCAATCGCTGCGCCACTGGTGCACTACTCGTGCGCAATTGGCATGCCACAAGTGCACTACTCGTGTTCAGTTGGTACTCTACTAGTGCACTACTTGTGCGCAATTGGCATGCTACAAATGCACTACTCGTGCGCAATGGGTACGCCACTAGTGCATTACTTGTGCGCAATTGCTGCGCCACTGGCGCACTACTCGTGCGCAATTGGCATGCCACAAGTGCACTACTCGTGCGCAATCGGTACGCCACTAGTGCACTACTTGTGTGCAATTGGCATGCCACAAATGCACTACTCGTGCGCAATGGGTACGCCACTAGTGCATTACTTGTGCGCAATTGCTGCGCCACTGGCGCACTACTCGTGCGCAATTGGCATGCCACAAGTGCACTACTCGTGCGCAATCGGTACGCCACTAGTGCACTACTTGTGTGCAATTGGCATGCCACAAATGCACTACTCGTGCGCAATGGGTACGCCACTAGTGCATTACTTGTGCGCAATTGCTGCGCCACTGGCGCACTACTCGTGCGCAATTGGCATGCCACAAGTGCACTACTCGTGCGCAATCGGTACGCCACTAGTGCACTACTTGTGTGCAATTGGCATGCCACAAATGCACTACTCGTGCGCAATGGATACGCCACTAATGTATTACTTGTGCACAATGGCTGCGCCGCAAGTCCACTACTGATGTGCAATTGGCATGCCACAACTTCTCTACTCGTACGCAACCGTTATACCACTAGTGCACTACTTCACAAGTGCACTACTCGTGCGCAATCGGTACGCCACTAGTGCACTACTTGTGTGCAATTGGCATGCCACAACTTCTCTACTCGTACGCAACCGTTATACCACTAGTGCACTACTTCACAAGTGCACTACTCGTGCGCAATCGGGGCGCCGCAAAAGCACTATAGGTGCGCAATTGGTACGCCAAAAGTGCACTACTCGTGCGCAATAGGTGCACTAGGTGCATTGATTGTATTGTACTCCACTATTACATTTGTTGCGTGTGACTAATGCACCTATGACTTTTGATATTAATGCAGGTATTGCGCATGATCAGTCGTCCTGTGGCACACGTACTGCGCCCGAGTAGTTCATTAGTAGCGCACTGATAGCACTCCCGAGTAAAGTAGTTCTGGTGCACCGATTGCGCACGACTATTGCACTTATGAGGCACCTATTACGCACGAATAGTGTACTTGAGGCGTACCGATTGCGCACGAGTAGAGCACTCGTGGCGCACTGATTGCGCACGAAAAGTGTACTTGTGGCACAGCTATTGGCGACCAGTAGTGGACTTGTGGTGTATCTATTGCGCATGAGGAGTGCAACTATGGCATTCCAATTGCGCATTAGTACTGCACTTGTGGTGCATCGATTGCGCACGAGTAGTGTACTTGTAGCATGCCAATTGCGCATCAGTAGTGCACTTGTGGCACACCGATCGCGCACGAGTAGTGTACTTGTAGCATGCCAATTGTGCATCAGTAGTGCACTTGTAGCACACCGATGGCGCACGAGTAGTGTACTAGTGGCGTACCGATTGCCCACGAGAATCGCACTTATGGCATACGAATTGCGCATCAGTAGTGCACTCGTGGCACACCGATCGCGCACGAGTAGTGTACTTGTAGCATGCCAATTGTGCATCAGTAGTGCACTTGTAGCACACCGATGGCGCACGAGTAGTGTACTAGTGGCGTACCGATTGCCCACGAGAATCGCACTTATGGCATACGAATTGCGCATCAGTAGTGCACTCGTGGCGCACCGATTGCGCACGAGTAGTGTACTTATAGCGCAGCTATTGCCGACGAGTAGCGGACTTGTAGCATATCTATTGCGCATGAGAAGTGCACCTATGGCATTCCAATTGCGCATTAGTAGTGCACTTGTGGCGCACCGTTCGCCCACGAGTAGTGCACTTGTGGCATGCCAATTGCGCATCAGTAGTGCACTTGCGGCACATCGATGGCGCACTAGCTTACTCATCTAAATAACCCCCTAAAAAATAAGGAAACCGACAAATTACTGAAAATAATGACTAGGAAATTCTATTTCATAGTAATTTCAGATTTTATCAAAAAATAATTTTTCCAGGTTTCGTGTGCATGTGCAAGATCAAAATGTACTGGAGGTAATTACGTATGCAAAAAAAGTGGACTCAACTGTACTCAATTATGTAAACACTGTTTGGACAAAGATAATTGTTCAAATCAAGCACTTGAAGTTTGAAAAAAAGTTCAGAGGAAACAGAACAGGAGCATTTCGATGATGATTCGCCTCGGCCTCTACATTTGGAAAATTACACGGAAGAAGAATTATTTCCATTCGAAGTAGAAATAGGAGAAGAATATAACTATTATGAAAATGAGCAGGAAACAAATTTGAATGAGCAGGATACAAATTTGCTTTTAATTCCTTAATTTTGAAAATGATTAAATTAAAAAAATGGAAACTTGTGTAAGGTCAGAAGAGACGTCAGAAATTATTAAAAATACTTTAAATTTACATATTCTATATGAGGTATTCCACGCCAAATAAGTCAACGGCTAACCCTCACCCTCTTGAAAATTGATGGCGATTTTTTCTACGATTAGGGGGCTTGAAAAACTATCTCTCAAATTTTTTCCGATTTTTTTGTCAGCCCAGTTCGGAAATATGATTTTTTTCAAATTGTTTCGTTTTTTTACAATAACTCGAGTTCTACTCATCCGATTTCGATTTATTAGGATCAAAATGGATCAAAATTTTCCATTTTTCACCACCTGTAAGAATGTTTTTTTGTCCAAATTTTTTCCAATCTCTAGATCCTTGAAATAACGAATTTTCGAAAAAAAAAAGTTGAAAAACACCAATTTGGCTAATTACGTCACTGTGCTGTAGGGCATGAACCATAGGGGGTGAAGGCAAAATGCATACTACATATTTTGCAGAGAATTTTATCTTTTATACTTTTTATTTGACACTTTTTCCGATGTCTTCCGTCGTTTTCGAGCTATTCTCGAAAAATGCATTTCGGGGGTAATTTTCCGTATTTTTCTC